AAAAAAAACAGAAAAAAAAAAAACAGAAAAAAAAAAAACCTCAAAAACAAAACAAAACAAAAACATTGAAGTATAATTTGACACACCTTAAGATTAACTACTTCATTAGGCAACCCTAGTATTTAAGTATTAATGGTATCTATGTTAGCATATTTGTAAATACTTTAGTAAATGATTTTTTTACCTTCCAATTCCAGGTATTATATCAGGAAACCATGACAGTTCTAGTTCCTGTCTCTTCTGCCTTATCAACGCATTGATTTCATTGACTTCTAAAAATTCTGTACTGAAAAATAATTTTAGACTTTTATCACAATTCTAAAAACTTAAGTTCAGAGTAACAACTGGTTATATCAAAACTATCACCAGTTTTCATACCTACTATTATGAATCACAGGTATAAGAATTGTTTTCTAAGTAGTACTTTCAAGATAAACTCAAGTCCTAAAATAAGTAGAATTTTTATATTATAAATCAAAATTACGCTTTAGTTTCTATTTTAAATGACGATAAAAAGTCAGTAAGACTAATGTCCTCATAATGAAGAAAGAAATTCTAGGTGCAAAATCGTTTCCCTCTTGGAGAGAAAAGAGTAAATTAAAGGAGGTTTTGGTTACTACAAGCAAAAATGGGTACAGTTCATCTCTTCAAAAGGTTATGTAGATTTAATTGTTTTCTGTGGTACCTTGCCAAGTGCTAAAATTAAATCGTACAATCTTATTCTGTCATATTGGTTCAACTAAATCTGTGATTTTTAAACCCCAATTTAATCTTCAAATTCCATAAATACTTAGCATCCACATGCCAGTTACTAAAGATTCAAAAATAACTGTATCTACTTTAGAAGATTTTTGGTTTATTATGTACTACTCTCACAATTTAACAAGTAGCCTACCTCTCTAACAAAAAGCTTAAAGAACAATAAGCTTTAAGAAGAAAAAGTTAAGAACTTATTATTTATGAAAATAAAACCTAATGGCATAGGTAGTTATTGCATAGCAGACAATATCACAAAACAACTTTCCTCTTTGCTAGAGCTAGTTTATTTTCCTAAAGATACAAAAACAAAAAAGAAGTTCTGTTTTTCATAAATTTTACTGAGCCCAAAGTTTAAATTTCTTCTATAAGTTAATTGCAATAATGAAAATAAGTTTTAAAAGCATAAATTAAACAAAGAAAATACTCACCAGTAAGTCCTATAGGTGAAAGAAGGTTCTCCAGTATTACTACTAGAAGAAAACATATTGCAGAAAGAACTTCTAAAGCACTGACTTATACACTGATTTGATCTTTGAGGCTAGAAAAATAAAAAGCAGTTAGAGAAACAATTAATAGAAATACTTCTGTGATGGTTTATATTAAAATATTTTTTGTATACCTGAGGCACTAGAGTTATGTACTGAATAACCAAAGTGCTATGGTCTAGAACAAAGGTTTTTCTTTATTTCAACAAACCTTATTTATCTTTATAGCTACATTTTTCTTTCCTCTTGGTTCATTTCTGTATGAAGAGTTTCCTACACAAAGACACAAAAAGAGTTGGTTACATTGCCTTCATTTTTACTTAAAAAAGGCTGTAAACCAGTATGGATACTAGCACACTGATAAAAGGAAATTAAAATGTTAAAATGAAATGCATTTCAAATAACAGTATTTACCATTTACGCAATTTCCCCAAATGCTAATTTTACCTTATCCTGTTAAATCTCAGATACGAGGAACATATTAAAGGCCACAACAGAAAACTTGAAGTATGTAAAACTATTATGCTCCAAGCATGAATATTAAATTTTGAGTCAACATTTTCTGCCACCTATGCAAACTTATAAGTATACAAACAGAAGCAGTAGAGTTATTTATTGATAATATCAATAATGTACTTAATAGTTCCTTTCTAGCTTTTCCTATAAAATAGGTACTATCAATTCATCTCAAGTAGGAGCTACCAAGGAAACTGGGGTAATTAGAAAAGAGGTGTTGTTTGGAATACTTTCTAGTACATCAATGTTGCTGGCAACTGCTGCTCATGTCCTGTCTTCTTTTTGTTGTTTGTTTAACTGTCCTACCCGAAGATGGGTTCCCATGAGTATCTTCAAAGATGAGAGATACTTTCTGTTAACCACAAAACTTATGTTAACATCTTTATAGATTACTTCTTAATTTGGCTACCATCAAGCCTCTGTTATTAGTCATTTCTACCTATCAACACATTTATGGTCTACAATAAACTGCTACTTGCACTGTCCCTGCTCTCTCAGCACTCTGGAAAAAAGCCTACAGTACAAATGACAACTGTCATTTAGTCTTCAGCCTTGCCTCACAAAGAGCCTACTGACTGTCAAAATAAATCACACAGATTAACTAGGAGGTCTGTTTCCTACTATTGCAAAATCATATGTATTTCCATTTTCTTCTGTCAGTCCAGTTGGTAACAGCCTACTTTCTACTTAATAGCATACTAATTTCCTTTTAAGTTACTATCCAACAGCTGTCTGGGCTAGTTCTATTATCATCCTTTACCCGTATCCCACCCAGAACTGCTGTAATAAATGCAATTTAGATGCTGGGGACACAGGAGCTGGCAAAGTTCCAGAAACTATCTTACACTCTGATGTGTATTTCAAAGATGATACACTGATTGTTAAAAATGCCTAAGCAGTAGGAATAACAATGTGTGGTAACCACTCAGCTGCATTCTTAGACATAACCACCATTTTCCTTCAGCTAGATACAGAGTTGCTATGCTGTAGCTACACGGTGTCTTTTATTCCCTAAAGATGCAGAGTTGTTTTGTCTCAGGTTTCATTCACTCAATACTTAATGAGTATATACTGTTTACAAAGCATTCTTTCACTTGGAAGCCTATCTCAAGAAGCCTTCATTAGATGAAATGCTCTCTATGGGAGAACTGTTAGTTTTCCAGACAATGCTAAGTGTGAAAATTAGTCCAAAAGCTCTTTCACAGATTTCTGGGTAATTCTCAGGTAATTACCCAGCAGCTCCAAAAATAATCTCTGAACTATTAAATATTGGTGAATTTTTCTATATTGTGGTTTCCTAGAGGCCATTTCACAGTTTTCACTCTACTCATCTGCCTTTGACAGCAGCGTTACACCTTTTCATTTAATTTTTTTTTTTAAATCAATGTAATGCACATACATACTTACGAAGCCAAACAACTTCCAGGCTTACAAAGAAAAATGGCAAAAGTACCCACTCTTGATTTCTGCTTCCCCAAAGCACTCATCAAATCCTTTGGTTATTTCTTCTAATATTTACCACTTTGTTTCTAAGCAACATCCTTATACTACTGCATCAGCTATATAAACATTAATCACAGTTGAGCCACATACTGAATTATTACTTTTCTTGTAAAATTTACTTCTACAGGGTTAATAATTCTTTCCTCCTTTTTTTTTTTCCAATTATCATCTAACACTAATTTAGCTAACTCTACAACAGAAGTACAAATCTCCTCTTAACAGATTCAAACACATTAATTCACCCACCAATCTCCTTCCCTACTTTCCTGTACAAACTCTTCCTCTGTCCTGCTCTAATCTAAGCTGGGTACTCAAAACTGGAAAAACAGACAAAAACAGTTGTCCTGGAACTAGCCTTTGTCATCATCTTGATAATCTCCTTATTTTTCCTGGGTTGAACATTCTTTCTGAATCTCACATTGTTCTTTCACTTACTGTATCTCATTCAGTGAAGTATGCACATCCTCCAGCAAAATCAAGAGAGGGTGTATGGGAATTAGGTTTTGAGCTTTTACGTGTTTGAGAATGCCTTATTTCTTATTCTGCCCCAATACTCATTTGATGACTTGGCAGGATATGATATCTTCTAGGTGAGTAAATATTTTCCCCAGAATTTCCAAAGCATTGCTTCACTGGATCCAATTGCTGATGATATTCTCTAACCCCGATCTTTTTCATGTGGATTATTATTGTTATTATTCATCTCTGAAGCTCACAGGATCTTACTGTCCTCAGATTTCTAAAATTTTGTGAAGTACCTGCTATAGTTCTTTTCTCACTTATTAGGTATTAAATTACTTTATATTTAGACACCTATTCCCTACTATTCTGGAAAATTTACCTTTGTACTACTTTCTTGGGAAACTTAATGTCTTTTGTTTATTTCTTTTCTTTTCCTGGAATTTTATTCTATATTGAATCTCTCTCCCTCCTTTTTTAGATTTTTTTGCCATAAGGCACGTGCACTTGCCAGAGACAGAGTGAGATGAGAAATCTATGGGTGAATGGTCACGCAGAGATTACTTCTCCTCCATTCTCCTCTCAGGATTTTTGAGCAGGTGTGCACACAAATCCAGTGTGCGTATCAGGTCATCGTGTCCAAGGCTCAGACCACAGAGTCAGCCGTGTGTGATCTAGCACTTTAACTACCATGCCACCTATCTCCTGTATCTCTTACATGATTCTCTCTGACTTTCAATTCCACTTTTCTGAGACTTATCAGCTTATCTTCTACTCCTGCTGAGTTTCTAAATTTCTGCTGTAATTTTCTTTTTCTTTTTTTTTTTTTTTAAATTTTTGCCGTAGAGATCATGTGCTCATTGGAGACAGAGAGAGAGAAAAAAGGAAAGTAAGAAAATACTCCCCAGAGGGATGGCCACATCACAATCCCTTCTCCATTCCCCTCTTGAGATTTTGGAAATGCATGCCTATGAAACTCCAGTGTGTTTTTCAAGCCACCAGGTCTGGGACTAGAACCGCCCAGCTGGCCATGTGGGATTTAGCCACCTTAACGACCACATCAGCTTGCCCAATATTTTTAATTTCTGAAAGTTTTCTTTTTAACAATAGTTTCTGTTATGTCACTGATAAAATATTCCTTCTTTTATCTCTAAGGATATCTGTTTTTTAACATTTTCTATTTTTTGTCATTGGGTCTGTTCCATGAGGTTTATTTTATCTGTTTTAATCTCTATTAATGCTGATTTTTCTCAAATATCTTTGATTGTTTATGGGATACTAATATACTAATTGAAAATGGTGTGGAAGGTGGGCCAGCAAGTGGCATAGTGGTTAAGAGTGCTGGACTCCCACATGGTCAACTGTGGTTCGAGTTCTGGACCTGGAGGCTTGCTTTCTCACTTTCCCTGTCTCTCTCTGGAAATATTAAAACAATAATAAGAGTTAAAAAAATAATTCTTTTTTAAAAAATAAAATGGTGTAGAAGGGTGGTCAGAATCTTTGGTTAATGAGTTTCACTGTAAAGTGATCAGAGAGCTGGTTGTTTTCTTTGGAAATGCCCAAATATCATTGTCTCTAAGTCTTTTCTTTTGGGCAAATAAAATTTCAGAGGATGTCTCCTATCTTCTATTTTGATGAATATAAGGCCACTTCAAATAGTTTTGGGAAATGGAAACAGGTGCCTGCTCCATAGCCTATTAGTTAAAGTCAGATCCCACATGGCCATAGAGGTTCAAACATCCAGCCCTGGGGGCTTGAAAAACATGCTGTGCACATGTGCTCAAAATTCCAACAGAATAAAGAAATGGAAAAGAGACTGTGGCATGACCACACCCCATTAGGAGGGTACTTTTTCCCTCTCCCCCTCTCCTTCTGTCTCTCCTTGGTGAACATATGAACCCTCTGACAATTAAAAAAATTTTAGGAAAAAAACATAATGGAATTAAAGTATGAATTTATTTCAATGCAAAAAGAAATCGAAATCCATGTATAATTTTTTCATAATAAGCATTTTTCATAAACTTTTTGAAGACCCCTTGTATAATAAGCAAGACTGCCAATGCTGTGGGAGACGATCATTTAATATGGTTCAGTCATTCATTCTAGACAGTAAATCACTCTAATCTTTGACTGGAGGATCCCTTCCTCTACTCTGTTCAGCCAGGAACCTGCAGGATAAACCACTCTTCTAAAAATTTTTAACACCAAAAACAGTGTTTTCATCACCATTTTACCTCTGCTTACAGAGACAATAAAGGACTCCAAGCCTGAGAGTCTCTAAGGTTCTACGGTACATGAACTGACTTGATTCTTTTTTAAGAATTATATTTTTGGGGCCAGCAGTTAGCGTAATGGCTATGTCACTGGACTCCCATGTAGTTGACCAAGGTTCGCGTCCCAGACTGGGCGGCTTAAACCCACGCCGGGCACGTGTGCGTGTGTGCTCAAGATCCCAAGAGGAGAATGGAGGAGAAGGGATTGCAGCGTGGCCATCCCCCCGGTGGGTGATTTCTCACTATCTTTCTCTCTCTCTCTGTCTTTCTGGCGAGCGTACGCACCCTATAGTAAAAACCTCTCCAAAAAAAAAAAAAAAATTATATTTTTAACTTAATTAATTTTAATTTGATCAAAGAGGGAGGGAGGAAGGGAGAGAGAGAGAGACAAAGTGAGAAAGCAAGCCTGCCAGGCCCAGGATGCAAACTGTGGTAGGCCTTGTGGGAGTCCAGCACCCTTAGCCACCATACCACTTTCCAGTCCCCTGACTTTATTATTAATTCCACTTTCCTTGTGAAAGGTTTATGCTTACTGCTTAGACAGTTTACCATCCTCCTTGTAAAATCACTTTCAAGCTTCTATTAATATTTTGTGGATATTCCTTATAAGCTTTCCTTTCTCATGTCTTTATGGCTTAAAAGATGTCTTCTTTTTTCACTACTGGTCACTTTAGTAGGGTTTTGGAAAGAACTAGAGAATTCGACAGGTGTTCAATCCACTATGCTTACTTGGAAACTTGTCAGATTTAATTTAACATATCCCAAAACACATTTCATGAAACACTAATTCAAAAGATACTTTATGAAACATCCTCTTGTATAATATAAACCAGTATAATGAAGGTTCAGAATTTAGAGCCCAGTATTTGGCAGGCACTCAATTAAAACTGGATTAATTGAATTGTTTCTACAGTTAATAACATAATTAAATCAATCTTATATGTACCTTAAAAAGGACTACAGGGGCCAGCTGGTGGCATAGTGGTTAAGGCACTGGACTCCTACATGGTCTTATAATGACAATAATAATGGCCCAATATCTCACATTTTAAAAGTAAAACAGGGCTGGGGTTAGCAGGTGATATAATAGTTGGGTTGCTGGACACCCATGAGGCCAACTGTGGTTCAAGTCCCAAGTACCTGGAGTGATTGAAACTCACGCTAGGCAGTGTGTGTGTGTGCCCAAAATCCCGAGAGGAGAATGGGGGGAAACGGACTACAGTGTCATCTCCCCTTGTAAGTGATTTCTTACTTTGTGTCTCTGTCTCTCTCTGTATTTCTGACATGTATAAGCACCCAATAGCAAAAATCTCTCAAATAAATAAGTAAATAAATAATGGATCTTTGCTATATTGAAGCACCAAGGATTTAAGATTTGCCTATGTTTCACTCTCTAATATAAGCCCAGGCAGGAAATAATATACTTAAAGAAAATTAAAACAGTCTTAAAACTAAGATTAACATAGTGAGGGGGAGCCAATCTACCTGGAAAAAATCTGTAACATCATTTAATCTTCCTTAGCAGTAAATTTTACTTCAGATAATAGTTAGCAGGCAAAAGCTATCCATGAAAGAGCACAATGACAAAAGACTGTTTTTGTATTTAAAGTTGTTTTAAAAAAGAAAAATGCTTTATTAACCACTAAAATCCAGAGATCAAAACAACTTGTAACATAATTTCACTATAATGGTAAATTATCAAAGAGAGAATATTTGTTAATCTATAAATCTAACCTGAGATCAAGCTCATGCAAATTAGGAAAAAAAAATCCTTGATATTCATAATAGATGAAAAAAAAACGAAGTTATCATTTACTTTAAAAACAACAAATGCAGGGACCAGCAGGTGGCGTGGTGGTTAAAGGCGCTGGACTCCCACATGGCCGCCCACGGTTCGAGTCCTGGACCTGGTGGCTTGTTTTCTCCCTTTCCCTCTCTCTCTCCGTCTCTCTCTAGTCAAACTGGAAAATAATAAAGTTAAATAAAAAATAAATAATTCTAAAAAAAAAAAGAAAACAAAACGATGAATGCAGGGACCAACAGTTAGCATAATGGCTATGTTGCTGAACTCCCACGTAACCGATGGTGGTTCAAGTCCCAGACCCAGTGGCTTAAACTCACGCCAGGCGTTTGTGTGTGTGTGCCCAAGATCCCAAGAGGAGAATGGAGGAGAAGGGATTGCGGCATGGCCATCCCCCATGGGGGGTGATTTCTCACTTTCTATCTCTCTCTCTTCCTGGTTAGTACATGCGCCCTATAGCAAAAACCTCAAAAAAAAAAAAAAAAACTGCACACAAAAACAAGGAATGAAGAAACAGCAAGTGGTATAGTGGTAAAGGCACTGAATTCATACATGGCCAAATGCAGTCTGAGTCCCAGACCTGGCTACTTGAAAATCACACCTGGCACATATGTGTACATGGCCAGGATTCCAAGAGGAGAATAGAGGAGAGGTGTGAACACCCCCTCTGGGGGAAAGGATTTCTAGCCTTCCCCTTCATAGTCTCTTATCTATCTCTAGTAAGCACACATGCCCTATGGCAAAAATCTTAAAAAAAAAAAAAAAATACACACACACAAACAAAAAACATTAATTCTTTCAAATCTCACTAATTAGTTCTATCACTAATTAGTCTATCTGAAACTCACTATACCCTAGCTAGGAAAATAAATGCCCACTCCCCTTTGTTTATAAACAGCATATACAAAAGATGTTCTTTGGAACAAAATAAACATCCTGAACCCCTATGAATGGGACCATTTTTTTCAAGCCCTGCTGTAAAACCTTCCAGCATCAGAGAATCATACACCAGAGAGGGAGAAAAGATAGGAATATTTAACTGCTCAGGTAGATAAATATGTTAGAGGTACTTCATTTCTAAGCAAAATTTCAAAACAGAAGTGTGGCTACAGGGCAAACTATGACTGCCTCCAGAACTGTGAATGAGTTTCTTGCTGTCATAGACTTCTTTTGCTACTGTTTACAGTTATTAGACCAAAACTACTTTGTCATCTCCCTTAAGGACTTCTGTACTAATGAGAGGAATAAGACCATAATGTATGTTGCTAAACACTAAGTAATTGGGAAAGAACTTTTTCTCCTAACATACATGCATACACACACACACACGAACACTTCCATCCTCCCACACTAAGCAATAAGAAAACAAGGATGGATGAGCAGATGGCCTAATGGTTATGTTGCTGGACTCTCATGTAGCCATCTGTGGTTCAAGTCCTGGACTTGGCAGCTTAAAACTCAAGCCAGGCACATATGCGGTGTGCCCAAGATCCTGAGAAGAATGGAGAAAGGACTGAGGCAAGGCCATCCCAAGGGGTGATTCTTCAATTTCTGTCTTTCTCTCTGGCAAGCACACTCACCTTATAGAAAAATCTCTCCTCAAAAAAAAAAAAAACAAAAACAAACAAACAAAAAAAAAACAAAAAGAGGGGGAGAGAACAGCATAAATGATCCCATAAAAGCAAAGGTTATGTACGACTTCACATAATGTACACCACTGTGAGGAGCTCTGTGTACAACTGTTTTTCTAAGCCAAAATGTTATTAATGAGAACACTGGCACAACCATTAAATAAAAGACTGACCAAAAAAGGTAGAATACACAAGGAAAAGTCACTTACTATGTATCATCTTCAAGTCAAAAAACTTTAAACTTAAGAGATCTTCTCTTATAATGGCTTTCTTCCTGCAAACATAAAGAGGTAAAAGAGTTAAAAGAAAATTATCATTTTGCTCATTTATGTTCACATCATTGCTGACAGAGATTTTCCCCATTGGAAGGAATCATTAAGAGTAAGACTTGAGGGTCAGCAGGTGGCATGGTGGTTAAGGGCTGGATTCCTACATGGGTTCTACTGCGGTTCAAATCCTTGATCTGGCAGCTTGCTTTCTCACTTTCTCTCTCTCGTGAATTAAAATAAATAAATAAAGTTAAAAAAAAAATAAGACTTGGAAAAAAAAACAAATTAACATTTTGCACCTGTTATTTCCTTACACCATGTCAAATGCCTATCAAAAAAATACTAAGCAATGCATTTATAGGCAATATATTAAAACTGTGCAATGGGCCTAACAGCAGCAAGTAAAGAAACAAACCCAAATATATTTTTTAAATGTTTGAAACATTAACACTTGGTGGTATAATAGGTAGCCAATGCCTGCTACAATACAAGAAAAATGTAGAGTAATAAGTAATTTCAGTTAATGGTCTTATAAAGAACATTGTGCTGAGACCAGCAGATGGCATAATGGTTACGTTGCTGGATTCCCACATGGCCGACTGCAGTTTGAGTCCAGGACCTGGAGGCTTGAAATTCATACCAGGTGCATATCATGCCCAAGATCCTGAAATGAGAACGGAAGATATGGGATTGAGGCATGGCCATCTTCCCTGGTTGTGGTGGGTGATTTCTCGCTTTCTGTCTGTCTCTGTTTCTCTGATTTACATGTGAGCACATATGCCTTACAGCAAAAATCTCTCCAAAAAGGGTCAGCAGGTGGCATGGTGGTTGAGGGCACTAGACTCACATGTGGCTGACCACGGTTTGAGTCCCGGACCTGGTGGCTTGCTTTCTCACTTTCTCTATCTTTCTCTCTCTTACTCTGTCCCTCTCTGGTCAAATTAAAATAAATAAATAAATAAAGTTAAAAATCTTTTTAAAAAACTCTCCAAACAAAAAAAGAACATTGTGATATATCATTTATTACTACTTTTTGTCCAAAAATAACCAGTGCTACTCAAAGTTGGTCTGAGCACCATGCTTATCCATTAATTATTTCTGATTTGCAGTAAGTACAAAAATGAGAGTAAGTATTCCACAGTCTTAATAAAAATTTTATACTTCTATAATTTTACCTTATAAATATTTTAGTCTAAAACAGATTAAGAAAACAACAACAACACAAATTAACACTTAAAAAGCTCAAATTATAATCTCAGATTTTAGCTGGTCCTTCCTTTGATCATCAAGTGTGTAATTTTGAAGTAATAAATACATTTAAACTCCACTCCTTTTGTACTAGGTTAACTTCTGGTTCTATTCATTTGTACTGTACCGTTAATTACCAACCTTATATAGCTTTTAAAATTTTCATGACAGGACAGCTGTTTCTTAAAAGAACTTTCATTTTTTTTATCTTTTGTTTCTCTCAACTCTCCTTTTACTTGAATCTAAAAAAAAGCAAAATCACCTATTTAGAGTGATAATCCAACAACAAAAACGATAACCTTTAGTTAGTCTCTCAAATGATTTAAACGTGTTTAAAGCAACACAACTGGTCTAAATAAAAAGTATAGTACAAATATATAAGCTTATTCCTTCAAGCATGCTAAACCAAAGTGTGCTAAGCGCTAGGGGAATAAAATAGTGACAGACATATAAATACATTAACTGTTCCTAACAGACATATGAACACAGATGTGTATATAAGTGTACAACTATAAAATTATCTTTATCTGAGGATGTCAGAGAAGACATTAATAAACAGATGACTTACAAGTTACTCTTAGAGAGTAAGTGATAATTTGTCTAAGAACAATATATTTTAGGTGATAGTAAGAAAAGAGTCATAAGGAACAGTGAGAAGAAACATAGATGGGTAAGAAAAGAGTAGCAGGATATGAAATTAATAAAATGTGTTAGGCTTCAACTACAAAAGTCCTTGAAAAAAATAATCTATAGGCAGGAGAAAATAAATTCAGTTTTTAAAGCAAGTGAATGACATTATCAAACTTCTTTTTTAGGGACTTACTCTGGCAGTAATAGGCATAATAAATCCATTAAGGGGAAACTATAAAAACCAAGAAACCAACTATAATGGTGTGGCAGTATCATGCTCCATAATGGTGGGCCTATATAGGAAGGACTAAGGTCTCTCTGTATACCCCATGTTTACACATTTGTGCCCTTGATCCTGGCTAACGCTAGAAGATGAACTGGCTGAAGCCCTTGTTAGGGGATTGCCCCCCAATGGAAGAAATAAACAAAAGTACTTCAAAAATGAGCAGAGGATGGGCCACCCCCTGTAGCACAGTAATTAAGTGATAGATATCGGGAGTCACATCCCACATGGCCAATTGTAGTTTAAATCCCAGAACAGACAGACTGAAAAGTATGCTGGGGATGTGTGTGTGTGTCCAAAATCCTCATGGTAAGGAGAAATGGAGGAAAAGGACTGTAGTGTGATTATCTCCGGGGGGGGGTGCTTTTTCTCTATGTCTCAGTTAATCACATTTGTCTTGTGGCAATAATAACAAAAACAAAAACAAGCAAAAACCCAAAAGAAAGTTCTGAATAATAATTTTTTAAATTATTTAATTTTATTTATTCATTTATTTATTTTAATGTGACCAGAGAGAGACACACAGAGAGAGAGCCTATCTTGACAAATAATCTGAAAAAACAGGGACTATGTCTTCCAGGAAAGCCACTTTAATATTTACTGTTCTACAGTTATGTATTTTTTCTCCAGGATACACACTATTTGTATAGTTGGCACAGAGTTATACAATTACAACAAGCAAGTAACTTTTTACATATATCATGTTATGTAGTCTTGTTTGTATCTTATATCAAGCCTCATCTAATAAAAAATACACTAAAACAAATTATAAACACCTAAACTGAGAACGACTAGTGGTTAAATGCTGCTTCTGTCTTCTATCCTACTTATGTAAATAGCAGCCAAGGTGTCATGAACGAGTCGTGGAAACAGTTTGTCTCCCTCATCAATGGCATCACATATATGTATGTTGATTACTTTCATGTTTAACAATCTATCATTCAAAATTATTAAAGATACCTCAAAAGTTTTGTTTTCATACATTTTACCTAACCACTACTCTCCTCTTCCCTTTACTTCTAATATTCACTCATCAACTCAGAAATGTATTCCTTTTTATTCTTTTTATAAGTCAATATTGATATTAATACAAACCAGAATCATGGATTATAATAAGTAACACTGATAAGGCAACCAGAATTTAAGAACAAAGGCATCATTTCATATGTTTTTGTTTTCGTTTAAACTGACACCATGTCATATTTAATTGTATTGGTTAATCATCTCAAAGTTATTATTATTTTTTTTATTTTTGTTAGTTTGCCATAGGGCGTATGCATTTGCCAGAGAGAGAGAAGGAGAGATGGGACAAGAGAGAACAAGAGAGAGAAAGAAAAATCACCCCCAAGGGGTATGGCCATGCCACAATCTCTTCTCCTCCATTTACCTCTCAGGATTTTTGGCATGCACGCACATGTGCCTAGCATGATTTTTAAGCAACCAGGTCCAGGACTGGAACCATGCAGCCAACCATTGAGGGATCCAATCACCTTAACCTGCTGTCCCACAAAAATTATAGTATTTTTCATGGAAACAGGTTTCATATATTTTGGCCTTATGTTTTGGTGGGGATGGTCTTTGAATCTGGTACTACATTTCAAAAAAAAATTTTAATGAAAAATATATTCAAAGTGCTATACAATTAAATTCTTTTGAATGAAAGGAAGTCTTCACATTTAATATGTCTTTAAAGTGTAAATATTCTTAAACTAAACTTAGGTGAAACTTCCTTTAGAGCATCAGAGATCTAATATATTTTGTGGAATATCACAAAGTAACCACTGTGGATAATACCCTCTGAAGCAAAGGAAAACACAGATCAGAATTTCATTACCCTTGTTTAAAGATCTCAGCTTGTCATGCTGAGGAGGAATAATATCAAATGTTAATCTTATAGTTTAACAATTTTCAAATATACAAAATAAAAAAATTATCAAAACAAAATAGCCTCAATTAACTTTACACAGTTCATGCTATAAAATAAAATCTAAGACTTACCTTAACATAACCTTCCAATGTACTGAATTTAAACACTGCCTGAAAAGGTTTTCGATCAATAGGACAAGAAGCCAGTGTCTGTAAAATGATTTAATAAATAATATCTTTAACAAATGTTGTCTTTAAAACAGACCAAAATTAAACCATACTCAATATACATTTTCCATTGTAACAGGAAATTTAAAATTTTTTTCTTCCTTCAAAGATAAAGGAGATGATATACTCTCACCCTATATCATGCTACTGAGCAATAAATATCTTAAATTTGTTTATTAATTCGTTTACTGAACATAAATTACATACTAAGTCACTGAAGTAAAATGATGAACAAGACATCTCTGTTATTAACATCCCATTAAGACCTGCTGCCTTTTTTTTTTTAACACTTTTTTGTTGTTGTTGTGATTTTCAAGCCGCCGGGTCCAGGACTCGAACCATGGTTAGCCATGTCATAATCCAATATTTTAACCACCACACCACCTGCTGGCCTTTGCATTGGTATAATGAAGGATAAGCTGGGCTGAAATCAGCACCTATGTAATATGAAAGCCAACTTCATGCTAAATATGGGAAACTTTAAATAAGCTATAAAATGATCTGACCAAGACTCTATTATAGAGTTTAATTTATTTTTGGAGAGGTTCTTGCTATAGGGCGCGTGCGCTCACCAGAAAGACAGAGAGAGAAAAGAGACAGAAAGCGAGAAATCATGCCCTCCTCTTCTCCTCTTGGGATCTTGGGCACACACGCACATGCGCCTGGCGTGAGTTTAAGCCACCGGGTCCAGGACTCAAACCACGGTTGACTACATGGGAGTTCAGCGACATAACCATTACACTAACTGCTAGTCCCTAGAGTTTAATATTCTATGACTTAATAGTTTTCCCCAAAACTATCTTGAATGGGTAGTTATGAAAGCAGTAGAAAAACTACTTAAAAGATATGAAGAAAATGAAGTATTCCTTTACTGCTCCCTGCAGTCACCTAGATGACCTCCTCTAGAAGCAGTTCCTTATACATCGTTTTGTAGCTAAACAATGCATAGACATATACATTTAATATAACCTGTGTTGAGTTGAATTTACTTTTTTTCTTTTATAATTATATATCTTAGATTGGTTCCTATTAGTAACTCAGAGCTGCCCCATTCTTCATAGCATGGTATGTCATGATAGATAGTTTATATTTTCAAAGACTCCTCAGAGTTCCTTTTCTTTAAACTGTCTATTCATGCTCTTTGCCTGATGTTTTTATATTAAGTTGCTAGTCTTTTCCAAATTGAATTGTAGGTGTTCTTTCTTTGTTGAGAAAAACTGGTCTTTTAATCACTCTAAGATGCTGTGTCAATTTTATTTTATTTTTTATTTTTTAGGAGAGATTTTTTCGCTATAGGGTGCATGCGCTCGCCAGACAGACAGAGAGAGACATAGAGACAGGAAGTGAGAAATCACCCCCCAGGGGGGATGGTCACGCTGCAATCCCTTCTCCTCCATTCTCCTCTCGGGATCTTGGGCACGCACGCACACGCACCCAGCGTGAGTTTTAAGCCACCGGGTCCGGGACACGAACCGCGGTCGACTACGTGGGAGTCCAGTGACATAGCCATTACGCTAACTGCTGGTTCCAGTGTCAATTTTATTTTGATGTAAATATATTTCCTGTACTTCAAAATTTATGTGCATCAACTATGAGTTTCTCAAATAACACTATTATATATTTGTATAAGAATAGGTTTATATTATTTAAATAATTTAAGATGATACATGCTTTCTACTACAAAAGACTGTGGCCTTTGAAGAAAATACCAAAATATAGTAGTATTAACACCTATGGTTACAAAAGCAAAACAGGATTTTAATAATTTAACAGCAAAAATCTAGAAGACAAAAGATAGAAATGAGGGACCAGCAGTTAGTATAATGGCTATGTCACTAAACTTCCATGTAGCTGACCGTTATTCGAGTCCCAGAACCGGTGGCTTAAACTCACACTAGGGGTATGTGCATGCATGCCCAAGATCCCGAGAGGAGAATGGAGGAGAAGGGATTGTGGCATGGCCATCCCCCTGGGGGGTCATTTCTCACTTTCTGTCTCTCCATCTCTCTCTGTCTTTCTGGTGACCGCACGTGCCCTATAGTAAAAACCTCTCAAAAAAAAAAAAAAAAAAAAAAAAAAAAAAACAAATGATAGATAGTTTATATTTTCAAAGACTCCTCAGAGTTCCTTTTCTTTAAACTGTCTATTCATGCTCTTTGCCTGATGTTTTTATATTAAGTTGCTAGTCTTTTCCAAATTGAATTGTAGGTGTTCTTTCTTTGTTGAGAAAAACTGGTCTTTTAATCACTCTAAGATGCTGTGTCAATTTTATTTTATTTTTTATTTTTTAGGAGAGATTTTTTCGCTATAGGGTGCATGCGCTCGCCAGACAGACAGAGAGAGACATAGAGACAGGAAGTGAGAAATCACCCCCCAGGGGGGATGGTCACGCTGCAATCCCTTCTCCTCCATTCTCCTCTCGGGATCTTGGGCACGCACGCACACGCACCCAGCGTGAGTTTTAAGCCACCGGGTCCGGGACACGAACCGCGGTCGACTACGTGGGAGTCCAGTGACATAGCCATTACGCTAACTGCTGGTTCCAGTGTCAATTTTATTTTGATGTAAATATATTTCCTGTACTTCAAAATTTATGTGCATCAACTATGAGTTTCTCAAATAACACTATTATATATTTGTATAAGAATAGGTTTATATTATTTAAATAATTTAAGATGATACATGCTTTCTACTACAAAAGACTGTGGCCTTTGAAGAAAATACCAAAATATAGTAGTATTAACACCTATGGTTACAAAAGCAAAACAGGATTTTAATAATTTAACAGCAAAAATCTAGAAGACAAAAGATAGAAATGAGGGACCAGCAGTTAGTATAATGGCTATGTCACTAAACTTCCATGTAGCTGACCGTTATTCGAGTCCCAGAACCGGTGGCTTAAACTCACACTGGGGGTATGTGCATGCATGCCCAAGATCCCGAGAGGAGAATGGAGGAGAAGGGATTGTGGCATGGCCATCCCCCTGGGGGGTCATTTCTCACTTTCTGTCTCTCCATCTCTCTCTGTCTTTCTGGTGACCGCACGTGCCCTATAGTAAAAACCTCTCAAAAAAAAAACACCCCAAAAAAAAAAAAAAAAAAAAAAAAAAAAGATAGAAATGAAATCTAGACAAATCATCTTATATAATTCCGTAGTAAAAAATGTGATCTTTGTCTTTCTGGGCTTTTGCATACAACAACATATGCTTATATAAGAAGAGACAGAACAAACTATTTGGGGCCTGATCATGTTACACATTTCCACAAAGCTTATGGGTTACTGTGGGAGCAGTCAAAATATAAACTGAGTTACTTTTACTACTCTATTAAAAAGTTATTTTTCCTTTTTTATTAAGTAAGCCCTCATAGAAAAATGTTTCACCACATCAGAATTAGGAAATGTGATCTTATTATATTAAATCAGTTGACTGGTAGAAGCCAGTTTAGCTTAGTTCTAAGTATTATGGATTTAGGATGCTAGTACTTTCCCTATAGAAAACTTGATCTTAAGAAGCTTCACTACAAGTAGCAACAGCACGGTCTACATCTTTTTAATAATGTATTACAAATAATTCTGGTTCAAAGAACTCAACATCATAACTATCTAAGTGGTTACCACTTATCATATTAACATGTACTGTAAAATTTCTTAAAAGAATATTTAAAAATAAAATATTTCAAGTGCTTATTTTTACCAAAGCTTCAAAATATTTTATTTCCATTTTAAAGATACTGATATAAAAATTAAACACTAATAAATGAAAATTTACATTCAATTTTTTTTTCTTTTAACTATTAAAGCACATGTGTAGGGGCCCTGGATTTACTGTCTACTTTCTTATCTTGTCTTTCAGATAGGCCTGAGAACAGCCTCTGTATGCCTCAGTTGCCCCATTTATGTAAAAGGGAATAACAGAACTTACCTCTAAGGTTTTTTTTTTGAGAGTTTTTTGCTATAGGGCGCGTGTGCTCGCCAGACAGACAGAGACAGAGAGACAGAAAGCGAGAAATCACTCCCCAGGGGGGATGGCCATGCCACAATCCCTTCTCCTCCATTCTCCTCTTGGGATCTTGGACACATATGCACACACACCCGGCGTGAGTTTAAGCCACCAGGTCCGGGACTTGAACCACGGTTGACTATGTGGGAGTCCAGCGACATAGCCATTACACTAACTGCTGGTCCCACCTCTAAGGTTTTTGTAAAGAGAGGTTTTTGCTATAGGGCGTGTGCACTTGCCAGAAGACAGAGCGACAGAAAGTGAGAAACCACCCAGTACAGGGTATGGCCATGCCACAATCCCTTCTCCTCCATCCTCTTCTTGGGATCTTGGGCACACACACGCATTTCCCCCAGTGTGAGTTTAAGCCACTGGGTCCGGAACTCAAACCATGGTCAACTACATAGGAGTTCAGCGATGTACCGTTACACCATCTGCTGGTCCCACCTCTAAGGTTTTTATAAAAGTGAACTGAGCTAATAATTCCTAGAATAATGCATAGCTCATACTATTATATAAGATTTTATAAATTATAAACATCAACTGACTTAACTACACTAACAGAAAAGTTTGGCTAATTAACAAAAAGACAACCTATAATATGATGCATATAGACATGTGAGAAAGATGAGTTCCTAATTTTTTTATTAGAATTTGCTAACTTTGGGAACCAGCAGTTAGCATAATGGCAATGTCGGTGGACTCCCACATAGTCGACCGCAGTTCGAGTCCCGGACCCGGTGGCTTAAAACTCACGCATGTGCATGCATGCCCAAGATCCCAAGAGGAGAATGGAGGAGAAGGGATTGTGGCGTGATCATCCCCCCTGGGGGGGGTGATTTCTCACTTTCTGTCTCTATGTCTCTCTCTGTCTGTATGGCGAGTGCACGTACCCTATAGCGTAAACTTCTCCAAAAAAAAATTTTTTTGCTAACTTCATGACATATATGAAAATTAAGTTATTTTATTATACTAGCTATT